TCTTATCGAGAATAGTTATAACATCAAAACCAGACATATTTATCACTTATAGAGAATATTATATTTAGCGGTTTTAGCGATTTTGACCTATTAGATTTGTTTCTTTATAGTATAAGAATATATGATTCATTTTTAGTGCAGATCTCGAAGAGTCCCCATAGGGCCTGGGTTATTAGATGAGTTGTGTATAATCGTCATATTTTGCGAGTGACATATACGATGAGGCCAATCTTTATTTTTATGTGTAATTAGGCAGGTTAACTGTTAGATAACGGATAACTGACAACAATTAATGAATTGGTAGGTATTAGTTCATTTTGACACTGCACGTTTCAGTAGACGTACGAGTTAAAAATCAGGTCATTTAATAACTTTATTAATGTATGAATTTGGACGTGACATCGATGTCACTGGCGCAGTAATGTGGCGCAGTAACGCTCATATTCTATTTTCCTTTTTTAAAACTTCGATTATCACATAATCAATATTTTCTTGACTTAAGTTTGAAATGTTTGATGCCGAAAATGATCTAATACCTCTTATTTTCTCTTTACCAATACTAACAAATAAATCATATATTTTTCCCGTTCTCTCCTTTCTTTTTTTCAATGCATCATTAGTGATATTATCAGGGAGTTGTTTCCTGATTTCATCATTAACAAGAGCCAAGCAAGCTCGTTCCCCATGTTTGAGATTCTTGTAATGATCGAAACGTTTTTTCATAGCTTCACCAAAGTTAAAATAACTTTCAATAACTTCCCTACTTGCTATCTCACTTTTAGATTCAGTCTGCGTAATTTTGCTATAATGATACAAAAAATTATCAGTGCTTTCGTTGACTTCTATTGCTTTTTCAGAATTTTCAGGTATCGTTGATGTCAATTCCTCAATAAGTTTTTTTAATATAGGAGAATCTTCTTTTGAAACTTGCTTCTTTGCTTTCTTACTGGATAGTTTACTGGCGGGTTCACCAACATGCTTTTTCTGGGATGTATCTTGAAATATTGTAAAATCTGGAGATATATTCATTGGATCAGTGATATATAGACTTCCAGGTGTGCTCTCGACCATAGTTTTTATCTCCTTCTCGCAATCCGGTCTTGGACATATTGAATGTTTTTTGATGGAATTTTCGATACAATCGCGATGATATATATGACCGCAGATGAGTATGGTAATCGGATTTTTTATTTCATACAAAAAAAGTTCTTGGTTGCATAACGAGCATGGATCTAGTTCCGGAACATCCACACCTGCAATCTTTTCTGAGAATGAATTTTGTAGGATATTTAATGCAAGGGATTCGAGAGACGAGATATTAGCAGTCATAGCGAGGTGTATAGCGGAGCTAGTGTCTCTGACACATAAGTTTTCCATATACTTATCTCATTTTTATAACGAAGTTAGTACCAGAGCGAAGCTCATTGTTTCACAGGCCTGAAGGGGCGACCCTAAAGGGTCATAAGCACATATATCACACTCATCGCGACTAATAAATCAATTTCAGATGTTATGAAAGCTAATTTCGGATTTAGCGATCGATTCATTCACAAATTAATTACTTCAGCTCGGAATTGCTCAATATATACAGGTAATCGTAGATGATTTCAGCCTTTTTTTTCATATATTCGAAAAAAGATTATATAGCCATCCTGCATATATAGATAGCATAATCATCTGGCTTCGAGCAAAATTGCGAGAAGACGGGGTGAAGATTGGCATTAATTTCACAAAACAGCGATGGAATTAGCTTAGTCTCTTGTGATAATTCCTGATTTGCATATCTCATAATGATGATTTATTCCAAATGAAAACACCCCTTATTATCACACGTAAAATCAATTACCAGGAGAAAGAATGGCTCTTTCGAAATAAAATCACATGTCTGAAAAATCGATTACATAATACAGATAATGATTAGGCACATTACTCCGTAATATATTTATCACAGAATAAAATCGAAGGTCATGGAACTTTTCATGCATGATGTAATCGTGTGACCTGAAATTGATTGCATAACACAGCAGACTATATCACAGAATAAAATCGAAGGTCGTGGAACTTTTCATGCATGATGTAATCGTGTAATCCATTAATTGTTGCCACAAATTCCAAATCCGATTGTCCAACTCATGACATACGTATTTTCTTTGTGAAAAGTTTTTTTGTCGTGCATTTGCATCGCTCCAGTTCCACATTCCCTAAATCTACCATTCCCATACCTAAATGAGACCAGAAATGAGCAGAGGGAGCATTTTAGCACCTTGTACTAGTTCCACTAAAAAGGACAGTATATTTATGTTGTGGTTGTTCGTCGCTTCTTTTACCTGCGATTTCATTTTCTCATATAGTAACAATCTTTTTTACACTTAACCGAACACCTATCAGCATGTCACATTTAGTATCTAAGATCGAAGCACTTTTGTTAGAAGAGCCATTGGACAGTCTTTGTGGTGCATCCGCAGTGTACCTCGCAATAGAAAACAACAATTTACCTCCTTTCGAGTATGTAAGAGAAGTGATAGATCGTGCAGTAAATTCGTCTCTGTTGAAAATAGAAGGTATTGAACGAAAAACGAAAGTATTGGAAGTGTTATCCCAGGTTGGTAGAAATTCAGATTATGTGGTATCAGGCGTGCTGGCTCTAGCCAATATTTAATGATGACTATGGTAAATGTGGATATTTAGTTTTGGTATGTCATAGCTAAAGGTTGGGGAATGCCGGCCCGGAAGAGCTATGTCTTCTAGATGTAGAGGGTTTCTGCTCCTCTCTAACTGTGCGTGACTATCCAGCCAAAACAATGACTCGTATAATTTCTGAAAACGCACATGTGCGGTGGCGGATACGACATAACTTGTAATTTTGAGATTAACTAATGTACCGGTACATACTAATGCATTTACCATAGGCTGAGAGTGGATATATTAGTGTTCGAGGTCTTAAAGCATTCAAGGCATTGAACATAGAAAAGGAATTGTATCCAGATCGTTCTCGAGAAGAAATAGACGAGAATATTAATAAATTAAAATATAAACTCGAGGCAAGTATAAAATAGTATAAAGCGTTATTACTCTCAAAACTAATAGTATTATATATCCAGCACCCAGCATCGGAAGCAGATGTGAGTCTTTACGGGACACTTAGACAAACTCTCGAGAATGTAGATGTGTCGAATCTTACATGGCGTGATCCCGAAGCGAGTATGGTTATTAGTGACGACTCATTCATGGTAAAAAACCTGGGGCGTAGACAGAAGAGTACCTTTTTAGAACCACGAGAAAATATGAAATGTGCTATACCCGATTCAGTTACGACAAAGTGTAATGAATTTATAAGTAATTTTAACAATTCGAATAATTCGTGGGTTATGAGGAATACGTCCCATGATAAAATGTGGAAAGAGGATGAAAGTACGCTAATAAAAATAACCGAACGTATTCTTGGAACACTGTTAAGTAATTTCCTGATAAATGATATATGTTTTCACATATTACTAGTACACTTTTATCTAACCATGTCATGTCGGTGTATTCTATGCATTAGTGGCGAGATATGGCATAATCCCGCATTTATGACTAGCACATCTCGCAGTGAGCAAAGTGAAGGTACTTATGTCACTGACGTTATAATTCCTTTGCTTCGATCGAGTTTGGGAGGCGATATTGTTTGCTTAAGTACGGCCGAGCGACAGAGTCTAGCAAGCAAAGCTAGACGAAGTATAAAAGTAGATGAAGAGCGAATGGGAAAGAAGCCTGATATTATGGGGTTGTTGAAACGGGATGAAAAGATTTTAGAGTTGATGTACGTCGAGTCTTCACGTATCATCTGTACTAATTCGAAAAAAGTAGATGATGACGTAAAATTATGGAGAGAAACATTAGATGGGATGAGTTTTATAGGTGCGTCATGTAGACCAGCCAGAAATCAATTTGGGGTCGTAGGGCTCCAGATTGCCGGTACGGACTTGCGTCTCAATGTTCTGGTAAAGGACTTGGGTGGTATACCAAGATATTTTCACCTAGACCATTCTGAAATTCCATTAACACCACATTCGTCGCACACTAAATCTCTAGTTCGTTTATTATTAACCTTAAGAAACATAATGATCGTTAACAAAAGCTTATTAGTGCAGGCATTAGAACAAGCTAATACTCATCCACCCCGAAATGTTAACCCAAGTCCTACCGTTTCATCACCACCCTATAATTATTAGGTAGAGATATTGTATAGCGGAGCTAGTGTCTCTGACACATAAATTATCATGTATTTTTATTGTATCACTTTGCTAATAAAGGATTCGAGATGGGGATATTATACAGTATATTATGTCGATATTTTCATGTTGTGTATCTTATATCCTAATTATCACGTGTTATTTTTTCGGACACATGATAGAATATCGAGTCCACCGGGAAATTAATTATATGCTTGTAGTACATCCCGAAATAGATTTCACACCTGAAATAGATTATGTAACGATTATCCCAGATATAGAACGGCGCATTATCAATCGCCTCATTTTGATTGGGTGATCGTCTACGATGTAAGTGTAAAAAAATCTGTCATGGCATGGGGTGGGATTGTGCCCGAAGTAAAGGCACTCCAGAGAGTGAGTATGGCTGTGGACTGGAGGGAGCGGAGTAGGCGTGAGTGTGGGGGATACGGCTAGTACCCTAGCCATAGCGAAAAAAATGGATCGGATCACGTGGAATGTTCGGGTCGGAGCATCCAAAATGACTCGGCCACGGCACAAATAACAAGGTAAACGCGTCTTATCATCATTATTGCGTTATTATTCATTTATAGACTTGATAAATAGCAAAATCTTGACCGTATAAACGCAACCAAAACCATTTAGTAATTACTGGTTAAAGTTATGCTAACTATAACCATAATAATAAGATGGTATATCTCATGCGTTTAAAATACAAGTTAAAACGTAAATTGTATACTCATTGAACATTTATAGATCGTTTATTGATTGAGATTGGTATACTGCATTAAGATAACATAGCGTTAACTTCCTATGTACTAACTTCCTTTCTATTCCAAACATACTGTACATAGATCTGACTTACATCGTTAATACACTTGTTCGAAAAAACTGTGAGTTTAATGCTTACCACACGATAAAAAGAAAACTGCAAGCCAAGACGCAATAATCCATCATATAATATACGACTCGCAATCATTATTCCGAAAGACTAAGGACAGTACATTAGTGTTATATGAACGACAAATTTGTGAGAAATTATAAGGCATTAACGAAGAAGCCTTACACTACATAATTAGCCAAATGCTTGATGTTGGTTCCGAAAAGCGAAGGCTCACGTTTGATGGTTGCATTGAAATGAGAGAACATTTGAGTAGCTGACATAGTGATAACAACAAAAGTGTGAAATTTGTATTACCGAACATTTTTTTCGCATTGCGAAATAGCATGTGATCTGTTGATTGAATATTTGTGTTACGCAATCGATTTCAGGTCACACGATTACATCCATGCATGACCTTCGATTTTATTCTGCATAGCAGGACGAAATATAACCCCCTTCTTCATTTATAGGTTCCATATGAGGTGGCTGACTGTCTCTAAAATATATCTGCATCGCAAAATGGAGTTCGTTTAGTGCCTAGTAACTGCGAAACAAAAAAATAAAAGCTCTATCACTTCGTTGGTTGGTTAAAATTGCTTACCTATCGAAATGTATTCCGCAAGCGCATTATATTCCCCAACTCCCGTGCCTTTCAAATATCTCGTGACTTGTGATCGATAACCCCTTAACTACTACTACGTAATTTTCTACAAAACCACCACTTCGTATTTTTCTCTCAAACTTTTTCAAAATGTTTCGTAACTTGACTAAGAAACTTCAAGAACATTTTCAACTTCTAGAATTTCCAAAGGAACTCATAGAGGAGAATAGGTAACATATGTTTTTATATCATATAACTGTGATCTTTTACTTTAAGTCCCACTTGGTGTTAGCTCATTTGAATTGCAGTTTACCTTTTAAGATTGCTTCCAATATATCGATAAAAAAGTACAACAAATTTCTTGAAAGCCGTAAACCGTCTGGGTACAAGCTTGAGTATAATAACGGCGACGTTATTATTATTGATATGTGCACGGAAGTACACGAGGCCGTTGTTGCACTGTTGCAAGATTATTTCAAAATTCCAAATGGTGGCGTTATTATTAATCCACCAATACTCATTAGGGGTCAACCATGTAAGAAAATTTAAGCTTGCTTGATCTTTGACTTTTTATGGATTTTCTAATATCTTACATCCTTTTTATAGTTCATCCTTCACCAAATGCAGATGGACTTGACATTGCCCCGGATATTGCAATATATCCAGATGAGGCATATGTTTCAAGACCTCCCGATTCTGGACCTCTCAATCTTGGACCTCCCCCAAGCGACACAATGGTACATTGAATTTGGTGTATATTATCATTATCTGTTTTGTATGCAATTTTCTAATACATATACTTTTGTATTTTGTAGGGGAATTCTCATGCTAGAATAATATGTGAGGTTGCAGTTAGTCAAGATGACCGTGGATTGAGAAAAAAGTGTGAACTTTGGATGAGTCAGATGTATGTGAGATGTGTATTAGGAATAAAGATTTATGATTTGAGAACTACACGAAATACACATGGACAATTTAATCGATCGATGAAGGCATGTATCTATTTACTATTGACTATTTTATTATAGTTTCGTAGTTGACATTCTAAAAAACTTTTTAAATATTAGGCTACATTATGGAGACAGGGATTTCCAACCAGAAAAGTAATGTTAAACTGTTTAGAGATTCTGTTTATCGTTATTTTATTTTTCGATATTTACATGTATATTAATATGTCTAAAAAATAGTGGCATTTTGGGACTGTGCAAAAACGTAGTAATCGACCTACTGGGTGTAATGCTCCAGGCATTCCAGCATATCAGATCAACATTCCAATAAGTGACGTATTTTATGACCCACCTATTCCAGCTATCGGATATGTTCCACTGGTTTCTCATCCTGCAATTCCTGATGGTAACTTTATCATTGATCTTTACGAAATTCAGCAAATAATCTTGAAACGTCAGCCAAGATAGTGTTGTTTTGCTTTGCTTTACATATACGTCCCATTTATATAGTTCTATTTTTCTAAGTTTAAAATATTGTCCCATCCCTTGTGAAGATATAGAGGGTCTTCTTTTGCTCTAGTTTGAAGATATAATTAGTGATCTTATTAGTGGAGAAATCGACATGAATGAAATTATTTTCTTCATGTTTTTATTAAAGATAATTAATTTTTTACTTCTGTCTTTATTGTTTCAGAGAAGCTATAAAATGAGGAGCTTCTTTTAGAAGAATTTCCGTGTTAATACAATTAACAATGAAAATGTGAGTCTTCTGATGACTATAATAAAAAAAAAAACCAAAATTATTTCGATAAACTCCCAGTTGAGATTATGTTAATGAAGAAGGTTATGAAGGTTACGATGATGATACATGTTGTTGTTGTTATTGTTGCTAATATTGATATGATGGATGAACAAGACTAACGAAATGCTTATTCAGTTGTATTACTTCGTTACTTTGATTTCCTCATTGGTATAAATTATAGTTTTGCGAATGCCATACTTCTAGTTTATATACTGCTTTTATGCTTAGAAGACGATATAGTGACAATTCAGGAAAAAATCGGCATTGTTGGCTATACTAATCGAAATGGCAGAAGAAGCCGATAAAAATGCGAGAGTGTACCTCCAAAGATTTGAGAAATTTCACGGTCCCTTAGAAGATGATCTAGGTGTGTTAATAAAGAAATTCGCTGATATAGAGATAAAAAAATTTTGGTTTACTAATGAGGGACTACCATTATTTCCAAATGTCTCTCCTCAACAATTGCATGAAATTTTCGTCAAAAAATCAGCTAGCATTAATCAGTGCCCATGTCTAGAATCAAAAGTAAAACAAAAAAAATTATCACGGATATATATACATCACAGCAAATAAAAATTCTTAGCTGGAGGCTAAAAGAAAATGTAAAGATAGAAAAAACTAATTTTTAATGATACAGTATCTGAGTCCTCATCCTCATCTGGATCTGGGTCTAGTTTTGAATCGTCTAATGATAATGAAGATTTTACTGTAGATGTGATAGATGGAAGCCATTGCTCTGCAATAAAAGTGAAGAAGCGTGATTAATTTTGATCATCATAGAGATGGAATGGTCTTGCTTGT